AAATATAAGGATTGTCTACAAAGAGACCATTTATCTTTGGTACATGTAGATCAGAATCATTCCCACTCATTAGATGTCAAATTGATAGATTAGGGTGAGTCACAAAGTTTGATAAATTTTTTTCTTGGAACTTTGTTTCTTTTTTTTTTGACCAATATTACTAGCTTTATTAAAAGCTATTCAAAAGAGATTACATCGTCAGAGACAATAAGGGACTGCAAAGAAGCTCCCCATTTAGCTAAAGAATCAGCAATACAATTAGCCTCACATTAAACGTGACAAAAGGAGATCGACAAAGATGTTGCAATATCCATCACTTGCAACCAAAGAAATCGAACCACTTAATGACATTCAGAGAGTTCCCTTCGAAAATACAGCTATTGCCCAAATTCTTAGAGGTGAAAATCTTCAACCCACAAAGCAAAGCACTCAAGTCAGCACAATTTGCTGTGGCCTCACCTATCAAGCCAGAATAGGTAAAAGTTACATTGTGCCCCCCCAATTCCAGCTAACCGATGATTGCCAAAGGAACTTCCATCAAATATAAACTTCAAGGTACCTGGACTCGGAGCCTTCCATATGCATCGAATTCTCAAACTACCAGAACCCAGTTGAAAAAGGTTATGCAAATTAGCCTCCACATCCACTTTGGAAATCCCCTTTCTGTCCTTTGTCACTGACATCCACGACTAAATGGAACATTTGATAATATAGATGAGTTTGACAAAGGGAACAACCTCCTCTTCAAAAGTCCTCATATTCCGTTCTTTCCAAACCTCCCAGAGAATAGCTGCTAGTGCAATTTTCCATAGAATTCGACCTGTCTTAGGCAAAAAAGGAGCTTTCAAAGAAGAGATAATCCCAGCCACATTTTGAGAGAGCACCATCTGTAATCCAACCATTTCAAACAACTAATACCAAATTCGTAAAGTAAACGGGTAATGTAAGAAAAGATTCACACCAATCTCCCCATCTTCCTTACACAACAGACAAACATTTGGAAGAATTTTCTCCCTTTTGATCAAATTATCGACAGTCGGAACTCTATCCTGAGCGGCTAGCCAAATGAAAACTTGAACTTTGTTTCTATTTAATGGTATTCGTACAACCGCTCATTCTAAAATACATAAGACAAGAACAATTGTGACCTCCATGTACAAAAGATAAATGGACAATCCCATAAAAATATTGCAAATATTTATTGATTTCTTTTTTCTTTGAAGGGTTCATTAATCTTGCTTCTCTTCTTACCTTTTTACATGCAAAACACGTAAATATACGAATGTATAACATACACTGAACACTTAGAAACCATAAATATCAATTTGTGGCTATCCACCTGTTTACTACTCAAGGACTTCACATATTTGCCTGTTGTATGGATCCTGGCATTGAGGTCTCTGACGACGAGGGTCATCAGGAATGATCCCATGCTCACAATTAAGCTCTCTGGTTTAGAAGCTAATGACTCGTTGACTGTACTCAAAGACGCCGTTATTGAACTCGGTGTTTGAAAAATTGATCCGGCCTCAGAAATCGGCCAAGGGCCGGATCCGAGTAATCGGTTAACTAGCCAGTTCAACCGGCCTAACTGGGCAGGTCTTGGCCTATCCAAAAACTGTTAATTAAAAAATAAAAAAGTACATAACAAATCCAAAAATATATAGAAAGTATATTTAAAACGTGATTAAAGGCAAGCACATCCAAATGAGTTGAAAAATGAAATTGAAAAAAAATATTGAAAAAATGGATTTTAAAAAAGAGAAAAGTTTATATAAGGTTGGACCTTAAAATGTAGAACTACGGTTGCACCTAAACAAATCCATCGGAAAAGGTTATTTTAATATTGAAAAACCCTCTAATTGACCATCTCGATATCGAGATGAATGACTATAAAAAAAAAACAGGATTTTGAGTCCCAGAAATGATGCATCTTATAACACATTATCTAGACTGTCAATTTTCAAGATTTTCATATATTAATAGATTTACTTGATTTTAATCATTTTTGGAGTTTAAAATTTCATAATTAGATATAAAAATAGATTTTGAGATAATCTTAAGAATATTTTACCTCAAAATTATATGTTATGATAAAATTTGAAGGTGCACAGTAAATAGATTGTTTAAGATTGCAACTTTATTAAAACCACACCTTTTCAAAAGTTGATTTGTGTCCAGGGGTATTTTTGAAATTTTTCAAAAATATAAAAATAAGTATTCTTGGCAAAAACACTTTTCAATCTTTGCCAAAATGATAAAAAAAAAAAACATTTAAAACACATTACAAACAAATCCCTTATTTTTTGAGATTATATATATATATTCTTTAAAATACCCTGCCTGTTCCGAGTTGGACTGGTCGAGTTTGCCAACACTGATTGAACCTTTGGGTGCTCAAGCGATCAATGTGTTCATTTATGGCATTGAGCAGTTGGGCTACAAGTTTGATCACCTATACCACTGTTAGACACTTTAAGAGGTCTGGCATGGTTCCATTACTTGATACAAATATTGAGTACCTAGATGATTCCAGTATGGACTTGCTCTTCAGTGGGATGTTGAGCACTTTAGTGCTTGAGTTGTCGAGAGTGCCGACATGCACTGTCATTGGGTGCTCAACAGTGAGTTTTTAACCAGTTCATGCGTGGAGTACCAAAACGATCTAATTATCAGTCTTTTTGTTTACTGTCATTGAATACTTGGCAACTTCATGCCTTTCTTCTACATGCACGCCGTCGTCGGATACCTAAACGATCCAGATATCAACCTTCTCATTTGCTCCACAATTGCATACTTGAGAATACATTCCCTATCCTTGTTGGTGAAGTACTGATGAAGCACTAGAGCATGGGACACTGACAAATGACATGAGAGAGCAATGTTTGGGGAAACCGGGAAAACAAGGGGTAAAATGTTTCAAAATTTGTCAATCTGGATAAAAAATCACCATAGACTGAACATATTCGTGTTTGGAATTGGCAATTTGGTCGATATATTATATGTTGTAGACCTCTTGTAGTAAAAGAACTTGTGAGGAAACCTCCCTCACTCTATTTCATGACAATGTCGGGTGTTCGAATCCTTCCATTGAGACTTTCCTCTGGTTTTTTAACCTGTCAAAGTTCGAACTTTTAGGATATATGTGCGTCTTGTTTTTAAGGCTAAAAAAAGTAACACACATGCAGGGGGCCTTACGATCACAACACACTTAGGAATCAAAATGAAAATTCAAAGAATAATAAAAATTGGAATTCAAATCAATGGACATAGAAAAGGTGTACCTATCAATGATCCTTGGTATGAAACTCGGAGAGGGAGTAGACTATGAATTCCCGTGATGAGAATATATTGAAAGTTGCCAGAACATGGTTTCTTTGATTTGGATAAAGCTAGCTAAGGCAGATCTTTTATAGAGGTAATGGT